GAACAAGAGGGACGAGGCTGATTCGTGAGGGATTGGTGGAGCACGTTCGCCGACGATCTCAAACTACTGCCGGGGGAGAGCCGGAGGTGCGAGCAGAGGACCAAGGGCGGCAATTTTTTTGTCGGGGGAGGAGAGATCTGCTATCCAAGAAATGTTGAAGACTGCAAAACATGGAGTTTTTTTTTTTCCACCTAACAAGACAAATAACTCAACCATGTGACGCTGGGATAATAAAAAATTTCAAGATGTATTACCGCAAGCGATTTTACCAGAAGATATTGGAAGGCTTTGAGTATGGACAATCTAATCCACAAAAGATTAATGTTTTAGATGCCATCATTCTTGCAATATCAACTTGGACGGTAAATGTCCAACAAGTGACAATAGCAAATTGTTTAGGACATTGCAAAATTCGTTCGGGGGATGAAACAACCTTAAGTAGCTCTAATGAAGTGGCTTTTGAAGAAAGCATTTCTGAACTTGAGAAAATGATTAATGATCAGGGTTACCACAACAAAATGGATGTTAATCACTTATTAGATTACCCACGTGAATATGATGGATGTTTAGAGGTCCAAAGTTTAGAAGAAATTGCGGATAGTGACATTAGAAATTCTGTTGAGGATGAAGTTGATGATTCAGTACATTTGAAACCAATCACACGGAAGGAACCACTAATGGCAGCCACAAATCTTCACAACTTTTTGTTGCAGCTTGCGAGTATCACACCAGAGCTTTTGAATGCAATGAGAAAGATGAAATCAATTTAGATTTGAATTTCATGAAGAAACAAGAAAAAAAAAACAATAAATTCACATTTCACTAAATTGCCTTAATTATATTTGTAATTTTAGAGGACTATTAATTTATGATTTTGATGAGACTGTATATTTACAAAGGAGTCTTTCTAAAAATTATTATCTTATTTTTTATTAAAATTTTTACATTGGCCTAAGACAAGACCAGGAGAAATTATTATATTAGAGCAACTATTATTTTACCGCATATTAATTTATAGAGGTTCTACTGTATATAACATATAGTAATATTTATACACAAGTGCTTATCCCATGCGATGCACGGGTAAACAATATTGATAAGTAATAATTATATACTAAAGATGAGGATAAACAATATGAATTAATAATTATAAATTAAAGATGAGGTTAAACAATATTAACTAATAATTATAAATTAAAAATTTTGAGTTAACATGTGATATAATTTATCGTATATGAGTTGTAAACATAACAATGTTATCTTGTATAAAAGAATTTACAAAAATTTATGTTTTAAATATTAAAAACACCTAAAATATTATATGACGTAGGTAAAAGTATCTGAAGTACATGGTGGCCGTAAGTATTCTAACAACACACCATGTAATGCAGTATTCCTACCCAAATTGATGCAGACAGAATGAACTCACCATGATGAATCGAAGTAGTAACTACTACATATATGTGCTTGTTTATATCATACGAGTTAAGAAAACGTAGTAATTAGCTGAGGCCTAGTTCGTTTACGCCAATCATTACAAAATAAATTGTTCCTCTCTGGGATC